GCTTCCAATAAAAAGATACTTGTTTTAAACATAGTTATTCTATAATAAGCAAGCTTCTTTCCCAAGAGGAATTTTAAAATGAGGGCTTTATGTTCATTTAAGCCATAGCTTTGCATACATATACAGAGATTTTTTTTTTCCTTCCCACATTGAAATTAAATCCCAAAGCTTCCCTTTCCAGTGGGGGCCAATGCAGCAAGGTAAATTTGCAGTTAGTTAAACTTCCATCTTATACTGTAAGGTGATATTTTGTACCAGTTATGGGACTTCTTTCATGTAGAAGATAAGTTAGTAAAGTTAATTGTATACCTACCTCACAAAAATCATTTATATCCATCACTGATCAAACTAAAGTTGGAAGAAATCAAATTATAGTACTTTAAATTCTTAGACAAGACAATATCAAATTATTGTCTTTCAAGAAGAAAGATCAAGAATAAACACAAATGTAGTTTATTATCCATGATTAATTTCTTTTGGAGAGGAAGTAGTGTCAAGGAGTTATAGATGAAAACATTAGTCAAGCAGGCTATAAAAGCAGTAATTTAAACATATTATGTGGTCTAATATCTTGAAATAAGGCTTAAAACCTTACAACTTGCCTAGCAGTGAGCTAATAAGTAAAGTTTTTTTAAAGTCACAAATTTACATTTCAGAAGGTACAGAAAGAATAACACTAAACATAAAGTGTAGGCATTCAAATGGGAAAAAAATTTAAGTTAACAGGCATGTATGGAGACTAAGAAGGTAAGAAAAGGGAAAATATTAAAGGATAAAACCTGGGAATAAAAAAAAAAAAACTGCTGGAAAATTAGGTAGAGAACTAGCTTTGAGCCCAGATTAAATAACATCTCATTTCAACCATCAGGTAATGACTAATTGAATTGAATTCTGGAAAAATACGCACGTTCACACCTTTATCAGGTACAAGCTAATTTGCTTAATTATATAACATATCCTTATTGAGGAAGCAAAGTTAACTTAAAATTTTCTTTGATTTTTGCACATGTCTGTACTATCAGTAAACATTATCAGAATTCAGAGATTAATTGGGAGATTATTTTACCTTTTTTAAAAAAAGGTTACTATTATATGGAGAAGAAACTGATACACGCCTTTCTCTTTAAGATAACTATCTTGTTTAGTTATCTTAAGTTATAAGAAATAAGTTATCTCTGTATGCAGGTGTCACTATAAAGACAAGAGTATTGATTCTGTGGTTTGGAGCTGTAAGAACTATTTGAAAAGTTAACTGCCATTTGCAACCACACCGCTTTAACACAGACTGCCCAACATATTTACAAAATATCATGAGAGTGAAATTTTCTAAATCAAGTAGCAACAATGTTTATTATTGTAACATTTTCAAGAATGGAAAAAATAAAACATCAACTTTCAGTGCTTCTTTATTTTGAGGAATTAACATTAACTCAAATGGGTATAATCAGCTATTCTAAAGGGCAAGTACAAGAAAATCTCTTTTATTACTTGGCAAAGCATGATAATGCTTACCTTCTGCATAATAACTTGAAAAAGCTTATTTCAATTTCATAAAATTTTCTACTGCTATTGTCATGTAAGTCTCTTGAAGAAGCATCCAACTGTACTGGGTTCAATAAGTTGGGAAGTCTGCCATAACATTATGTCCCTCAGCTCACTAGTCAGCATAAGGTGCAGCTGCCTTGAACCCTGGCCAGACATTACTGTCAGAAGACTTCATAATAAAATTGTTTTCATGCTAACCTTAAATTTGTCCAACTGTACAAACTCCAAGGACACTGTATGGGATAATCAATTTCTCACATAGCTTTAACTTTGAAAATGGCTAGCTGCAGCCCAGCTGGCCTGGCTCAGTGGTTGAGCATTGACCTATGAACCAGGAGATCACTATGATTGATTACAGGTCAGGGCACATGCCCAGATTGCGGGCTCAATCCCTAGTGTGGGGAATGCAGGAAGCAACCGATCAATGTGTCTCCCTCATCATTGATGTTTCTATCTCTCTCTCCCTCTCCCCTCTTCTCTGAAATCAATAAAATATATGCTGTATAAAAGAAAATGGCGAGCTCCAAACTGCCATTTAAGTCACTGTATAATGAAAACCCCCATAGTCCTCCTCACTAACAGAACATTTCTGAGGCTGCAACACCTAGTGTGAATGAAAAAAAACTTTATTCTCTTAATATGCATGAAAATAGCAACAGTTAATATTTAATCATACATACTATGTGTTAGGCACCATGCTACTTTATCTCTAGACTTCACAACTCCATGAGTTAAGAATTACCATCCCCATTTTGCAGATGAGGAAACTGAACTGAGGCTCATAGAAGGGTCCCACCGCTAGCAAGAGAATGCAGAAGCCTCCTATATTTTTTATCAGCCCTTCTCTGTACATAAGGCACGTGAGACCTGAAAGCATCGATTATATAATTTATTAGTTAACCCACAAGTTTTAGAAAATGCTAGGCTGAGCTATGTATGCTGTGCCTACTTCGTGGGAAACTGAGGGGCCTTACCTTTCAGAGTTTATGCATTCCATTTTTAAAAGTGTAACATATCCAAATTTCTTCCAGGCCCTGACTAGGGATCTATGCCAATTCTGTATCTGGGTGTATTAATTATGGAATATGGAAGATCATTAAACCAGTATAATTATCTCAAAACACTGAAAATATTGTGTAACATTTAGTCAAAACTCAGATATTTCTTCAGAACCCAAGTTTATTCTGGTAATAAGCCTCAGAAGTAGGCCTAGAATTTTACCACTCATTACAGACATGTCTACTATAAATTATAGAATCCACTGTTTAAAGACATATTTACCCCCAGGTAAAAAAGCAAGGAGTGAAAAGATGAGTACTCAATATGTCAGAAGAAGCTATTTGGTCTCAAATATGGCCAAATATGCCAACTTTTGTTAAACTTAGGTGTGTCCACTTACTCTAATCACACCAGTATCCTACTATATTAAATATGACATAGGTCTTACTGTTTCAAATATTATACATAGGTGGGCTTCCCATATGACTTTATCCTTTCATTACTTAAAAGTCCTTTTAATCAATGACATTTAAGCTAAAAGCAAAGGGTTTCTTCAGAATTACAATTGGGCAAAACCATATATATATATATATATATATATAATCACACACAATTTTCTTTTCTGGACAATCTTATTAGAAAAAAATCATCTGTTATTTACTACGCCTTACTCTTTTACAAAGCACCTCTTCACCTTTTACTTAGTTAACTTGCTATCCCGGGTCAACTAGACACGAGGCATGATAGCCTCAACAATCGAAGTTTCTCTAAAAAAAGCAAGGTCAAAGAACAGAGGCACCTCTGCACCCAGGAACATATAAAAGAGAACGACAAAAAACTTCACACACACCGGGCTTCGGGGGACATCCTACGGCTCAGCCACAACGCGTGTAAATCTGATCCCTGGAGTGCGGGGCACTGACAGTCATTCAACTTTCTTTTCGATCTCCCCATTGTGCTAGTCCTGGCACTACAGGCAAGATGTACCGACACTTCACCAAACGCCTTCTCTGCTGTCTGGACATTCTCGCGGCGCCAGGCCGGGGTCCGCGGCCATGGGGCGGGCCGGGCAGCCGGGGGCAGCGGCGGCGCGCGGCGCCCAAGAGAACCACGCGCGGCACCCGTTCCCCGCAGGCCTGCTGCGGCTGGTTCCCGAGCTCCGGGGCTGCAAGGCCGCGGCAGCAGCCATGGCAGGGACGAAGGGACCTTTCCCCTGCCTCCTCCGCTAGGCCTCGAGGAGGTTTGCTTTTCAGTTGGGGCCGTTGGGCAGCAGGTGGGCAGCAGGTAGTGGAATTCAGCTGCAACCGCAGCTGCGGGCCGGGAGAGCCGGGCTCCCTCGGAACCCGACCTGCTGGTGGGCTGGCAGCAGGCACCTCGGCGGGGCCTGGCTGGAGGCCGACGGCTCGGTGGGGAAGGCCACCTTCTCCCTCACACACCACATCTCTCCCCAGCCTGCCTCCTCTCCGTTAGCGCTACCGGTTGGCCGGCGGGGGAGGGGAGCGAGGCGCGTTATTCCCGGGGAACTGGAAGGGGGAGGGGACGGCATCACTTACCCGCGTTACTGAGGAGGAGGAGGCGGTTGGAGCGCGGCGCGGCGGGGCGGCGGCGGGGCTGGGTGGGTGCAAGTCAGAGTCTTACGAAAGGGAATTAACCCCATCACCAGCCCGGACACCGGCTCCAGCGGCAGCCGCGGCTGGCAGAATCCCGCCCCTTCCCACCACGTACTAGCTCCGCCTATTTGTTCTCTTTGAGGGAAGTCGACAAATCATAGGCTGCATACCGTCGGAGTGACATGAGGCTCATCCAATCACGCTTAGACAAACGGCCTTCTCTCCACCCCTTTATCTCCTCCTGGGCCGCGGGAGAACCGTGCCAAGTCTTCCTCCACCCTCAAGGGACAAGGGACCAATCGGTGATTAGTATCCGCCCTTGAAGGACGCAAAGGGTAACCAATGGAAAACTAAGAGGACAGCCATTTTGCCCACTTGAAAAAGAGCCACCTTTTCCCACGAGTTGGAGCCTGAGGTGGGGGAGTTGTGGGAGTTTTCCCTGACCTGGAGATATTGGAAAGACAACCATTTTTTCAAGGAGCATTTATAATGCTTTGTAGGAGTAAAATAAAATTTTCATCCTCCATGTGGGGAGATGAGAGGCACGCTGCTTAAAAGCTTGACTCCTCCCCTTAGCGGTAACGGGTTCTAAGCCGAACACCTGGTTTCTCTAAGGAAGGCGGGGTGATTGCCCTTTTCGATCTAGAAGAGCGAACTACACTTCCCAACATGCTTTGCTCCCGCTCAATCCTTTTCTCAGTTTACTTCCCTCGGCAGCCTGACGGGAATTGTAGTTTTGGGGAGATCCATGCCGCCTCCTTGACCAATAAGAAGGGACAAACTTTTGAATAATTTGGAGTTTGGGGAGGAGAGCTAGTTGTCTTGAGGCTGCAGTGAATCGGTTTCACCGCTGTAACGGAAGAGATGAGGGATAGAAGAGCATGCTAGAGCAGAGTTTTCTCAGAACACCATAGCTGGTGTAGATTCCTGGTGTTTGAACTGCTACTTTCAGTTTGTCCCTTTGAAGTCACTTCCGCTTTGGGCGGATACAAGCTAAACGTGTGGCGGGAGTTGGAGATTCTTCAGCGAATACACCAGGTGTGGCCGTCTGGGAGTGGGATGGCGGGCAAGTCGATAGTTTCTTGCATGAGAGATAGAAAATTGAACGTAATTTAATTGCATTTTAAGAAAGAGTGGGTGAGATGGGGTAGGGGTAGTTCCTAAGTCCATAATGCCACTCTCCACCCAGCCTTCAATCCCAGAGTCCCATTTTTCTTGTGTTTGGACTTGCTCACTATTGCACGCATTTATTTGTTGTGGGGGCCTCTAATGCCTTTAGCCGCTGTCGGTACCCACGGCTTCCTGCCATCAGTTTGACGAAAAAACCGGCTCTGAAGTTTTGAGCTAACTCCTCCCACTTTTACAAACGTCTGAAGACTAGTTCAAAGGAAAAATGTTCCAGAAGGGCTCAGGATTGATCCTAAAAAATGGTGACTTTACCTTGTTGTCGTTGAGTAAAGCATACACGTGGCGACAGATACCAGCTGTAATACACTGATGAATAAAGATATTTATGTACTTTGGAGCCCATAGCCTAATTTTAGCACATTAGGCTCTGGTTTATGCCCTCCTCCGGGTGCAAATTTGAGTGTATTTTTTGCTGTTTGACGTTTCTTTTGAGTTACCTTGGGAAATTCATTGAATTAAGACGCACAAGGAAAGAGAAGGTTTTTCCTCCCCAAGACTAACCTCATTTTTCTATCATTTTGACTAAGACTTTCTCAGATAAATTCTAAGTTTTCCCCAGGGTCTCATTGAGACTGACTTTTATAAACAATCTTGTAAATATTTATTTAGCACTTATACTGTATTAGGCACTATTCCAGCCTTTGGGGATAAAGCAGTGCCAAAAAGACAGGCATTCTTCTTTGTCCAAAAGTAGTGAGGAAGACAAAGGCCAAAGAAAATTAGAGGTAATGTTTTTTTGTTTAATATTTTTAAAAATTTATTTCAGAGAGGAAAGTAGAGGGAGAGATAGAAACATCCATGATGAGAGAAAATCAGGAGTAGGCTGCCTCCTGCACACCTCCTACTGGTGATGGAGCCAGAAACCCAGGCATGTGCCCTGACCAGGAATCCAACCATGACCTCTTGGTTCATGGGTCTGTGCTCAACCACTGAGCCACATGGGCCAGGCTACTAATTTTTTAATCTCTCTCTAAATCAAGTTTTCATTAGTCATGTTTTCTGTATTCATTCTGTCACCTCTTTCCATTCTAACTTTGTATTAAACTAAGCATATTTTCTCCCCCCCTTTTTTTAACTGAAGCACAAAAAAGTCTTTGTCTAATACTCATCAGTTGTTTATGCACCAACTAGATGGTAAATTTTATAGTTAATGCTTCTAGATATAGGGATATAACCATACCTTTCAGCCAAACAGTGTTGTCTCTCATTTTTTTTTTATTGCTTAAAGTATTACAAAGAGTATTACATATGTCTCCTTTTTTTCCCCGCCCTTGAAAATCCCCTGGCCTCCCCTACCCCCCAGTGTCTATGTCCATTGGTTATGCTTATATGCATGCATACAAGTCCTTCGGTTGATCCCCCCCCCAGCCCCCCAACCCTCCCAGGCTTTCCCGCTGTAGTTTGACAGTCTATTCGAGGCAGCTCTGCCTCTGTATCTATTTTTGTTCATAAGTTTATAATGGTCTTTATTATCCATAAATGAGTGAGATCATGTGGTAATTTTCTTTCATTGACTGGCTTATTTCACTTAGCATAATGCTCTCCAGTTCCATCCATGCTGTTGCAAATGGTAAGAGTTCCTTCTTTTTTTACAGCAGCATAGTATTCCATTGTGTAGATGTACCACAGTTTTCTAATCCATTCATCTATTGATGGGCACTTAGGCTGTTTCCAGATCTTAGCTATGGTGAATTGTGCTGCTATGAACATAGGAGTGCATATATCCTTTCTGATTGGTGTTTCTGGTTTCTTGGGATATATTCCTAGAAGTGGGATCACAGGGTCAAATGGGAGTTCCATTTTTAGTTTTTTGAGGAAACTCCATACTGTCTTCCATAGTGGCTGCACCAGTCTGCATTACCACCAGCAGTGCACGAGTGTTCCTTTTTCTCCACATCCTCTCCAGCAGTTGTTGTTTGTTGATTTGTTGATGATAGCCATTCTGACAGGTGTGAGATGGTACCTCATTGTTGTTTTGATTTGCATCTCTTGGATGATTAGTGACTTTGAGCATGTTTTCATATGTCTCTTGGCTTTCTGAATGTCCTCTTTTGAAAGGTGTCTATTTAGGTCCTTTGTCCATTTTTTGATTGGATTGTTTATCTTCCTTTTGTTGAGTTGTATGAGTTCCCTATAAATGTTGGAGATTAAACAATTATCGGTGATAACATTGCCAAATATGTTTTCCCATGTAGTGGGCTTTCTTGTTGTTTTGTTGATGGTTTCTTTTGCTGTGCAGAGGCTTTTTATTTTGATGTAGTCCCATTTGTTTATTTTCTCTTTGGTTTCCAATGCCCTAGGAGCTGTATCGGTGAAGAAATTGCTTCGGCATATGTCTGAGATTTTGTTGCCTTTGGATTCTTCTAGTATTTATATGGTTTCCCGTCGTATATTTAAGTCCTTTATCCATTTTGAGTTTATTTTTGTGTATGGTTTAAGTTGGTGGTCTAGTTTCATTTTCTTGCATATATCTGTCCAATTTTCCCAACACCATTTATTGAAGAGACTATCTTGGCTCCATTGTATGTTCTTGCCTCCTTTGTCAAATATTAATTGAGCATATTGGTTTGGGTCGATTTCTGGGCTCTCTATTCTATTCCATTGATCTATATGTCTGTTCTTATGCCAGTACCAGGCAGTTTTGAGAACAATGGCTTTGTAATACAGCTTCATATCTGGTATTGAGATCCCACTTACTTTGTTCTTTCTCAGGATCGCTGCAGCTATTCGGGGTCTTTTTTTATTCCCGATGAATTTTTGGAGAGCTCGTTCTAGGTCTGTGAAATATGCTGTTGGTATTTTAATGGGTAGTGCGTTGAATTTATAGATTGCTTTGGGTAGTATGGACATTTTAATGATCTTGATTTTACCAATCCAAGAACTTTGTTGCTTTGAGTGGAGCTCAGAGCCAGCCCCGGCAGGTGGGAAGCTGGCTTCCTCCATCATTGGGGCAACCAAGCCTACTGCTTGGTCCAGCTCCGTTCCTGCCGGCCACCATCTTGGTTGGGTTAATTTGTATATAGTCGCTCTGATTGGCTGGTGGGTTTGGCTTAAGGCATAATGAGGGTATGGTCAATTTGCATGTTTGTCTTTTATTAGTGTAGATTAGTTTTCTATAGGTTGTTTTTATTCTATATAAATGATTCTGTTATGTCATCTGTTAATTATATACACCTTTTCTTTCTCCTTTTCCGTTTGCCTTATTCAACAGATCTGATTCCACTTTTAAATAAAATATGAGGTAGTAGACATTTTTTGTATTGTCTGACCTTGCATGGAAAGCTTTCAACAGTTTAAGTATGATGATGGGTGGGGCAGGGGGTTGGTAAAACTCTTTCATCATATGAAGGAAATTTTCTATTTTTTCTGCGTCAGAGAGCTTTTGCTGTGAATGGATTTTGAACTTTATCCAATGTCCCTCGCCCCAGTCCAATGACCGTGCACATTACTTTGTTATTGTTGAGAATTACATTGATTGCGTTTTTCCACCATGTATTTCTTAACAGTGTAATTGAGATATAATTCATATACCATAGAATTTAATCATTTTACAATTCTGTGGGTTTTGATATACTCAGAGTTGTGGGATCATCATCATGATCTAATTTTAGAAATTTTTCATCACTCTAAAAAGAAACCCAGTATTCATTAGCAGTTGCTCTCTATTCTCCACTGCCCTACTCTCCTCCATCCCCCATTCTATTAAAACATTTTTTAAAAATAAAAGTGGCTTTAGCCCTAGCCGGTTTGGCTCACTGGATAGAGCGTCGGCCTGGGGACTGAAGGGTGGGTTCGATTCCAGTCAAGGGCATGTACCTTGGTTGCAGGCACATCCCCAGTAGGGGGCGTGCAGGAGGCAGCTGGTCAATGCTTCTCTCTCATCGATGTTTCTAGCTCTCTATCCCCACATCCTCTCGGTAAAAAATCAAAAAAAATATATTTTTTAAAAAAACTGTTACCCTTGAATATATAAAAAGAATTAACTCCTAAAGCTTAAAAAAAGTAGCTTTACGTTCATTGTTTATCTTTATAAATATAGTGACTAATTCAGTCCTTATAGAATAAATCATATAAGTTGTAATGTGACCTCAATGTAGCAGATTTTTTTTCCTTGGAGTTTTTGTTAGAATTTTTTGCATTGTAGAAAAAAGCAAAGATAATAGATTATATAATGTGTTTTTAAAAAAATTTTTTTAGCTTTTGGCCAGTTTTTCCCCACTAAAGCCGGCATCCCTCATACCCTTGACCCTGAGAGGTGCTTCTTAGCTGCTATTACTTATAGAAATTAGGCATGGCTCTTTCTGCTGTTGCCACTCTTGCCAGAATGTGTTTCACTTAATCCCTGCTCCTTTGAGTTTTGACTTTCTGGATTAAAGTCTAGAATGGGTCTATCTGATTAGAAAACCTAATAGCTATAAGGCAGGCTGGGAATGCAAGAATCTGGTATTGCCAGATTTTTTATTGGGAGGTGATATCTGATTCCCATTCAGATTTGAAATGTGAGGACATTTCAGGGGACCCAGATGTTGAGTGGCCCCATTACTATCTCATGTCTACTCCCAAATAACACACATCCAGCTTTGTTCTTTGTTCTTCAGATGTATTTATTTCCAAACCTATTTGGCATTTGCATTTCATATTTTATAGCCTTTTCTAACTTTTTATATTTCTAAAAGATCTATTAATTTTTGTTTTCCTGAATCCATTTCTTCCTTAGTCTTTAATATCTCAGTAACTTGCATTATCTCATTGCTGTAAATGTACATCTTGATTTCCCATTACTCTCATTTTCCACAGGTACTCCATCAGCAAGTCACGTTTGCTTTACTTCAGATACATTCCCCAATCTC